GACGATTATCGTAAAACAAGAGGCCCATGGGCCACATTGCTCATATGAGAGCATTGGCTAGGGGAAAAAACTCAGTTTAGCATTGAAAAGTTTACATGGAGGGGGGGGGGGGTCGCACTTGAGTTTTTAAGTACCTTTTGATGCTTCCATAACAATATAGCAAATGGCTTTGCTGCTCTTGAGCAGATTTTAGCCCTATTCATACATGTGCAAAAATTCCCCATTGTGGCCCCAATTTAATTATATACTATCTTAAGATGTCTCCTTTTCATTATGACTAGTCTATTGCCGTTCCTGTTCTTCAGAAAGTTTTTTTCCCTTATATGTAAAACTTGATTTAACATGATTTAACATGATTTAAAACTCCATTGTAGCCCTTAGGGTCAAGACTTGAACACACTTGAATCAACACTGCCTGAGGATGCTTCAATAAAGATATGACCAGTCACGGCTTTGCTGTTCTGGAACTTTTCTTCAATCCTCTGAAAGTGCTTAACCAATTACATCCAATGTTCGCATGTAACCTCTATGGACAAATAGGAATAAATACTTTGAATTTCATGGTCCTTGCGCCCCTTTGGCATGGGGAGTGGGAACAAAACCACTGAAATTGATGCAACCTTTAAGAAATCTTTTTGTTAACTCCTGGACATCAAGCAGGCAAATTGTTAGCATGAGTGTAATGCGCATTGAGCCCTGTTGAGTCACGTTTTGTCCGCCGTCACATTATGTCCGCCGTCACGAAATGTCCGCCATTTTTTCAGAAAAATCGTCACGTTATGTCCGCCGTCACGAAATGTCCGCCTCTTTTTCGGAAAAATTGTCACACTATGTCCGCCGCCACGAAATGTCCGCCTCTTTTTCGGAAAAATCGTCACACTATGTCCGCCGCCACGAAATGTCCGCCTTTCTCCCAAAAAAATAGAAATATTAGGTCCGCCGCCAAGAAATGTCCGCCTTTTCTCCCTAAAAAATCGTCAAACTATTTCCGCCGCCACGAAGTGTCCGCCGATCATCCAAAATTGTAACGTTATGTCCGCCCCTACAAAATGTCCGTCCAAGATTGAAAATAGTGTTTTATTTTTTCTTTTCGGTGTTTAATATATGTATCTCTAACCAAACGTCTAATAATGTATGTCATCAGAAATATCCACCAAGAAAAATTAATAACAATGGTCTGTTCTTTGCTACAAATGATTTCATTGAACTACATTGTTTCGGTCAATTAATAGAGATATGTTTCATTTCTCTTGATTGTTTACGGTTTTGAGAATTTAATGGCATGGTGTCAGAAAAATTTAAGCCTTACCCTTTGTTTTGTTGCCAGTTTTTAATTGTAATAACAAAGAAAACATATTGTGAACGGCAGGAGGCGGTGGGTTATTTGATATTAAAGTTTAAAGTAGCCTTGGTGCTCTGCGGAGTTTAAAAAATAAATTTAAAGTATTTTACATTGGCAGGGAATATTTATATATTTAGTGTTCAAAAGCTTAGCAAAATTGCAATATAAACTAGAGGTACTGTGAGCAATGAGCTCTCTAAATGATACCCCCCGCCTCCCATATGAATATAATGGCAGTGTCCATGTTTTGCTCTGGAAAATCAAAAATAAACGTCAGATCAAAAAGTAAAATACGAGGTACACAATGGCAATATGTAATTAAAATCTGTTAAAGTTTCATTAAATTTCCTTCAGTGGTATGAGAGGAGTTGCGGATAAGAGATGGGTACCCCAAAGCGTAACACACGGACAGACGGACGGACGGAAATACCGATTTCTATATACCCTTCCACTTTTCAAGCGGGAGTATAATAAAAATTAAAATTGAATAAATAATCGTGTCAATGTTGTATCTGACCGAATCCTGATTGACGAATTTTGAAGCGCAGAGAATATAAGGATTTTCGTTATATGTAAAATTTTAATTTCTCACAAATACGAAATTTATGCTGCAGCAGACAAGGATAAAGCATTTTTTTTATAGTGTGCCAAAATAAAGAGAAATGCAACTTAGCGGATCTGGATGGAATTGGGGGGGGGGGGTCAAAACCCCCCTTAAGATATGTCTGAGAGAGAGAAAGAGATTCAAAATATTTGTTGTGCTTTAACCTAAGTACCGGTAATTGTCTCGTAAAGGCTACTTTGAATTTATGTATGAAAAAAATCGGTTGTTCAAATAAAATATGCGCCTGCAATATTGCGTGCACTGTTTTAATGTGTAGATTTTTACAATATATATTTTATTAATAACAGATCAAGTAATGTCAGTTTGTTGCCTCATAACATGAACATTGTGGTTTGCCGCTTGAGTCTAACTAAAGGGTTTTGTGTAGATATAACGAAATATGACGAGTTTAAACAGAAGTTCGAGCAACTAACCCTTGTGCCGAAATGTCCGGGAATTATGAAAAAATAAGTTATGCTTGTGTATTATATACTTTATGTGTATTTTTGTATAAGTTTAGTACGTATTTCCTTTTCATTTACCGAGAAGTTTGGTAAAATAAAAGGGTAAATACGTTAAGTGCGACGTTTCTACGTCTGTATTCATTGGTATCTTTTCGAATAATTTAATGGCCCTTAAAAGGGCCGTTTATTGTCAACTCCTAGGAGCGACTCTTGATGGTCTTGCTTATTGAAAGCAAGAAGAGGACTGTTCCCGCCTCGTTGAAGTGGATCTCATCGGGAAGGTAATGTCTGGGAAATTTGACATCTATTCTGATGTAGGTTCGGCCAAGGATTTTCTTCATCTTATTGTTAACAGTTCTACGCCTTGCATCAAACTCCTCACGCTGCAAAGGAAATCGAAATTTTCCTCTAGAAACAATCTCTGAGAAGAAAATCTCGGGTTGTCTGCAGCTGGGACTCAAGACTTTAATTTGGTCGAAAAGGCTCGTCAGACAGTCAATGACTGTTGACGCCTCGGCTCCACTGGAAATGTCGTTTCCCCCTAAGCACACTACAACGATGTCCGGGTTGTACCTCAACATCTTGGAGATGATATTTGGACAAGGCTGAGAAGCTGTTATCCCACCAACTCCAAACCACCCGACTTCAAATGGCATGACAAAGTCTGTAAAGCTTGAAGCTCGCTTCACGTAGGAGGAACCGAATATGGCGACTCTCATGGTGGCTATAAAATAAAATCACAAATTTCACAGTTATAACAAACTCAAGGCAAATTATGTAATTAAATAATGATTACCTTTTTTGTCATCTATGATTAAAAAGCAGTTATCAAATTTAAAAAAATTGCTATTATATATGATTTTAAAAAATGAACTTTTTGAAGTTATACTAATTTTGCTTTGAAATCAATTACCGTGTCGATCATAAATGGCTAATTGGTTATTAATTATGCCTAAAACAACCTCAACATGAAGTACGCTGGGAGTTCAAAATAACTGTTAAACTATATCATCATTACTGCTACTCCTAATTTAAATTTTGTTCGTACATCAATAAGACGATTAACTCTCATTACCGCTTCATACACGAATTCGTAATCGATGACGCAGAAACTGAGTCCTATATTTATATATATAGATTAATCACAATGTTGTCAAAGAAAGTTGGAAATCTATTTAATTCAGTTTGTTATCGAAAATTAAATACAATAGGACTTTCAAAAATTCCCGTGCGTGTAGATTTGAAAGACACAGCCCTCAGTAATGTGTCTTTAAGATAATAAAATGTGGAGAAAACCTACCCAAATAACAATAAACCTTTTTTAAGTGATCAGGGAATACATCTCACATGCATGTCCATGTTTAAGGTGCAGACAAATTGGAGGTGCATTGTAGCGATATATGTATTCTACGAAGAGGATACGAATAGGAATAATAATTTAACCCCCCCCCCCCGCCCAATAAAAATGTTTTAAAAAACCGTAACGACAGCCACTACAAATGTATATCGTCTGTTGAAACACGACGAATTATCATCACGTTGAGTTTCAAACAATACATAATAGATTGGATTTAATAAATGGTTTCAAAAAGTTATCAATGTCTTGATTGTAGGGAATTCAGAGAGACAAATAGTTCGCTGTCTTGATAAATAGCGTGTCCCAATATCAATAATTATCAGTAATTACAGTACTTGCAAAACGTCCATAGTTTGAAATGAAACTGGATTTTTTTTTTTATGATTTAAACATATTAAAAGCATTCAGTGTACCTAAAAATAATACGAGCTTCAATATTAAACAACTTTAAATTAATGTTCATAGCATTTTGTTTGGAAAGGGGAGAAATGTCTCGCTGAAAACAAATGTAAATTTTTACTTCGTTATGCAAGACCAAAAACAGCACTGCTTATCCGTGTTTGATCCCGAGATCAAAACGAATGAATAAAAAATAATAATATTACACGCACATTTCTAGAATATTTCTGACAATTTAATTTTGTGGAGGCTTTCAAAGTGTCCTGCCCTGTTTTTCAATCTAGATTTTTTAAAATTGTTGTGCATCGATCATATACCAAGTTTTTTAAAGTTAATACCAGTTAATATTGAATAAAAATCACGTGACTATTGTTAGTAGAGAAATATTGAAATAAGGGTTGTCGGCAGACTTATAGTATATTCTAGGAGAGTTCTGCCAGTAAAACTGTTGCCCAACTCTTGCCACGTGGAGGCATCTCCTGTTAAGAGTCTTTTTTTTTTTTTTTTTTTTTTTAAATAAATAAATATATTATACTCTATTTAAATAAATAAATAAATAAATAAATAAATAAATAAATAAGTAGATATTCTTTCTGTTACATGTTAACCTAGATTTGCGCGAATGTGGCTCCAACTGGAAACCAGCTCATAAGGAGACAGGTCGTACCACATTTTCCCTAATGATGTGTTTGGCGCGAATGGTGGCTCCAACTGGAAGCCTGATCAGAGAAAAAAAGGCCATACCACCATATACTGACAGTGTTTGAAAATTAATAAATTAATAAGCACGATATTGAACGCGTATATACAAGGATATTTTTCACGTTTTACCCGTTACTTTTTAAATTTAAAATCGACAATATAATACCATCCGGCGATTGCTGTTGCCAGTATCTCGATGTAACCATTAATCCACCGTGAAGAAATCGGTCGCAATATATTCCGTAATTCCATCATTACTCCACTACCCGAACCCGACACACGGCCCAACTGACGAACAGACCAGTTGTGCCTTACGCCCTCTGCGAATACTGACCTACCTTCCAATAAAAACATGACATTTTCATTTAAGTATACTTTAGGACACAATTTATGAAGGGTGCCTAGCAAATGCTTGAAGTGTGTTGAAACCCTTATTAAAGTCAAAAACATGTTAAAATTTTTGTATATTACAAAGGATAAAATATGACGCTGAATGAAGTAAGGTAAATCAGTGAATTGCTTTTGGTTTACATTTTCTGTTTCCGGAAAAATTTGCTTACGAGCCCTGACATAATCACTTGGTGTAAACTTTTTAGGGGGTCGCACGTTAGACCTTAATCGGACAGGTGATAATACTGGTGGCTGTTTGTCTAAATTTGAATCGTTTATCCTATCTGTAATTGGAGATAAAGAAGGTGGAGATAAATAAAATGATGAGTTAAGACTTGGGGGAAATAACCTGTCTTTCTCTGTGGAGCTCAGATTGTTTGTGTCGGAGATTGCTGTTGGGGAAAAGCGTTGCAAAGTCGGCGTTTCCAATGCTGGCGGAACAGGAGAATCGATGTGGTCATTTGCAGTCTGAAATAATTCGTTGTCAGGAAAAGAAGCCGAAGGCCCTATGTTTACATGGCTGACCGGAGGAGATAACGAACTGTCGTTGGTGGATAGGTGTAGGTGGAGAATCGAATCACTAGAATAATCTGTAAGTTGAGGTTCAAGTTGAACTTCCTGTAACGAATAGTGAGAAAAATCATTACTGTGAACATTGTTATTATCTGTGTTGTTTTGGTTTGAGTTGAGATCCCTGTTTGGAATACACACTGTATTAACATTATGAAAATTAACTTCATTAATACAAATATCCGCCTGCGTTTTGCCCGGTATCAGGTTCTAATTTTAAAAAATGATTTTTTTAAGTTCTCGAACTCATGGCCTAAATAAATATGTAAAAATGTTTTCATGATCATATCTATTCATTTGTGAAAACATTAGGTATATACGATCAAAAGGCTCAATATTCACCATAGTCATACAGGTATGACGAAATAATTAATATATTACAAATATATAGGTAAAAATTCGGTCAATGTTTAACAGTTACAACATATATATTACATTGTTCAATTTTACATATTTTTCCCTTTTATTATATATTTAATTCCCAAACATTTTTCTTTGTATTTGATCTAACTTGAAACGTGAACTTTCTTCATATGTGGAAATGCGTTTGTCACGATGGCTTATATATGAATATTTGCATATCCACTGCTCTCTCCCACTATGTGATGCAGATGTGCAATTAGCGCGCATCATGGAAAATATGCCAGCAGAGCTATTGCTATTCATAACGCCATGTCGACATAACATATCTTAATTAAAACCATCAATTCAGTACTTTTTTAATTATGCGATATTAAATGCGTACACGATAGACATGAAAGACAGAGGAAATTCGAACTGAAAATTCGCCAGCGTTCCTTACTTACAAAATAAACTTCTGAAATCAGTAAAAGTAGTTCTAAAATGACTAACTTAGTTACGAGATGTTTTCATGTTTTGTATCCGTACGATGTCTGCTCCTTTGGTCAACTTTGACGGAAAATTCTAACAAATACGTTCTCTAAAACCATTTATTATTAATCATTTCTGTTATTGTAAGGTAATCATGCCCTTTTCACGATTTTTCACCGTTTTTTTATATAACTGTCTCGTTTTTTGGAGTCGCCGCCGTTTTTGGAGTTCACGAAATGCCCGCCTCTTTTTCCCTATTTTGACGAAAAATCGTACACTTTGGGATGTCCGCCGTTCGCGATGGCCGTGACAGAAATGTCCGTTTTGTCCGCCGTACATTATGTCCGCCGTTACGAAATGTCCGCCTCTTTTTCGGAAAATCGTCACGTTATGTATGTCCGCCTCTTTTTCGGAAAAATCGTCACACTATGTCCGCCGCTAAATGTCCGCCTTTCCCCCCCCGCCACCAAGAAATGTCCGCCTTCCCCCCCCCCCCAAAATCGTCACACTATTTCTGCCGTCACGAAGTGTCCGCCAATCATCCAAAATTGTCGTCACGTTATGTTCGTCCCTACAAAATGTCCGTCCAAGATTGAAAATAGCGTTTTATTTTTTCTTTTCGGTGTTTAATATATGTATCTTTAACGAAACTGGTAATAACGTATGCCATCAGAAATATCCACCAAGAAAAATTAATAATAACGGTCTGTTTTATCTAATTTGCTACAAATGATTTCATTGAACAACATTGTTTCGATCAATTAATGGAGATTTGTTTAATTTCTCTAGATTGTTTTCGGTATTTGAGAATTAGCAAAAATGCAATATAAATAAAATTATAATTGAATAAATAATCGGGTAAGAGTTGTATCTGATCAAATCCTGATTGACGAATTTTGAAGCGCAGAGAATATTAGCATGTACATGTAGGTACATGTATATATTTCCTAAGGATTTTCATTATATGTAAAATTTTAATTCTCACAAATACGAATTTTTTGCTGCAGCAGACAAGGATATAGCATGTTTTATAGTGTGCCAAAATAAGGAGAAATGCAATTTAGCGGATCTGAATGGGATGGGGGGTCAACAGTCCCTCCTTTAAGATATGCTAGAGAAAGAGATTCCAAATATTTTTTGTGTTTTAACCTAAGTACCGGTAATTGTCTCGTGAAAGGCTACTTATAAAATTTATGTATGAAAAAAAAAAATCGGTTGTTCAAATAAAATACGCGCCTGCAATATTGCATGCACTGTTTTAATGTGACATATTTATAGATTTTTATGATATATTTTATTAATAACAAATCAAGTAATATCAGTTTGTTGCCTCTCATAACAGGAACATTGTGGTTTGCCGCTTGAGTCAAAATGTTTCTTGTTTTAAATACCTAACTAAAAGGTTTTGTGTAGATATGACGAGTTTAAACAGAAGTCCGAGCAACTATCACTTGTTCCGAAATTTCTGGGAATTATAAAAAAAAAAATAAGTTATACTTGTGTATTATGTACTTGATGTGTATTTTTATAGGTATTACGTATTTCCTTTTCATTTACCGAAAAGTTCGGTAAAATAAATGGGTATGTACGTCAAGTGCGACGTTTCTACGTCTGGGTTTTGTGTAGATACGACGAGTTTAAACAGAAGTTCGAGCAACTATCACTTGTGCCGAAATTTCCGGGAATTATAAAAAAAATAAGTTATACTTGTGTATTATTACTTGATGTGTAATTTTATAGGTATTACGTATTTCCTTTTCATTTACCGAAAAGTTCGGTAAAATAAATGGGTATATACGTCGTAAGTGCGACGTTTCTACGTCTGTATTCATTGGTATCTTTTCGAATAATTGAATGGCCCTTAAAAGGGCCGTTTATTGTCAACTCTTGATGGTCTTGCTTATTGACAGCAAGAAGAGGACTGTTCCCGCCTGGTTGAAGTGGGTCTCATCGGGAAAGTAATGTCTTGGAAATTTGACATCTATTCTGATATAGGTTCTGCCAAGGATTTTCTTCATCTTATTGTTAACAGTCCTACCCCTTGCATCAAACTCTTCACGCTGCAGAGGAAATCGAAATTTTCCTCTAGAAACAATCTCTGTGAAGAAAATTTGAGGTTGTCTGCAGCTGGGACTTAAGTCTTTAATTTGGTCGAAAAGGCTTGTCAGACAGTCAAAGTTATTCTAAAATCATGAAAAAATTGACGGCAAAAATGAGAACCTTCTCTTAAAGTAATTCCACCCTCCTATGATGTCATAGGTTTTTGCAAAAACTGTTTTTAGTTAAAATTAATACCTGATAGAACAATATCTTTTGGAGGAATGCTTTTCAATAGGTGTAATGATAAATATTGTAAAGTAAAAGAATTTGAAATAAGCATTTTTTTTATTTAATCAATTATTCAATCTTTAAAAAATGTTGACAAGGGCAATAACTCCTTCTCAGGTCTCTTCATTCGGGCATTTGCTTTATTATACTTCTAATGTAACATAGTTTCCCTGATATTCTCAATTCAAAATTATCTTATAAGTAGAAAGTATTTAGGAACATACAGCATCAGAAATATGCATTTTAACCAGTTTTTACATATTTCTCATAATATTGTTTACAAAAAAATGTGCGATATTGTTGTTGACATATACTTCTGTTTATTTCTGTCTCACACCTTAAATAATATGGCGACCTATGCATTTTTTGCAATAATTGAAAAATTTAAAATTTATTAAATAAAAATAAATGCAGTTTTTGTACTTTGAACCATTAGAATTGCGATGGTGGAAATAACTTAAATGGTTATTTTATTTTCATTAACACTATATAAAGATAATCATGACTTGTGCTAAAGTAGGACATTAAAAAGAATACATGATTTTTAGCGATCTAATTATATAACTGTAACAATAAATTATCTTTTTAAACATTACTGACTTTCAACGGCATAAAAGGGTATTTTGGTATTGTCTGTTGCCTAACCCATTAGGCTTTCCAACGAAGCATTGTGCAAAGCAACGCTATATCCATTACTCTATACAATGTGTTTTTTTAACAAAATGTCCCGACTTTTGATGTTTATATTTTTGCACAATAATAAAATATTTATAAATCTATTCTAAAGCCCATTTTCTTGCAATATCATTGTGATATAAGCAATATTAAACAAAGTCATTATATTTTTTTTCCATAAATGACTGATGTTTTGATTACATTTTCAAAAATTAGTTTGTGAGGTTTTTGTCTTTAGAAATGAATCTATGGAATTTTATAAATCAAACAAAACAAACAGAAAATCTCCAAAGTCATGAATATTAGTGCCTAAGATTTTGAAAAAAAAGTACTCATATGAAAACCGATCTCCCCGGAAACAGACTATTTTTTTTATTAAAAATGTCCAAATATATGTCAAAAAAGGACTACAGAGACAAAATGAGGATGCTGACTGGAAATATTGTGCACGTGACTCTCAGAACACATAAAAATTACGTTTTATTACGTTATATTGAAAACTACTGCTGATGTTCAAACTTTAAGAATGTCTGTCATAAAAAAAATAACTGATTAAGAATTACATAAACTTTCAAGATTTATTACGGGTTTGTAACCCTTTATTTTCAAATTATTAAATATATTATGCATTTCTTATATATGTAATGCATATGATTAAAATAAATCATTTTGTCTAATAAAACTATTTATTTTCTGTCTTCAAATGTACAAAATACAGGTAAATCCAAGATGGGATGTAATTACTGTAGTAAAATTATTATATAAACATTTATTGTTATTTGCAAGAGGGAATAGGTGGAATTGAGATTTTTAAAAAGTGGGAATAGGTAGAAGACACCGGTGGAAGACGTCGCACTGATTGAGGGGCATGTCAAAATTACATCAAACGCAACCGAGATAGTGTACCCCCTTTCAGGTAGAGACAGGATGTGTACAATACATTTAATGACACCTGTGATTCTAAAACAATGAAGCCCTTTTCAACAGACACCGAGATTCACACCTTTTGTTTTATAGCATGGGAAAAATTTTAACTACAATTCAAATACAATGAAATTGCATTCAATTCCTGAGTTTCAGGAATTCTGAAATGCGTTCAACGTTCTCTTTTCATGTATTTTTTTTTTTAAATATATAACTGATTCAATTCATAAACAATTAAACACGTCAAAACTGCTTCTTATTTCATTCTTGGAGCAAAAAGTTACAAATTTTAACCATCATGAAGAAAATATTAGAAAAAACACCCCCCCCCTAACTAAAGATGCTAAAAGAAAAGAAATTGCATGCATTGAATAATCCGACAGATGCATCAAAACAAAGTTTATGAGAAAAAGTAACTTAATTCAGGTATTTATAAAATTAAAGACTGAACTATTTCGCTTAGAAATATAAATTTTCGATTTTAACCAATTTGTATTTTATTTTTACATTTAAATGATAACATTATGCAGTATATGTACATTATCCCTAACACATCAATACACATTGGTTAAAATTGAAAAATTATTTTTTAATTCAAGAAATGATATTTAGTTAAAATAAACATGAAGACATGATAAATAGATAGCATTGCCGGCTTTGAGAACATTCTGCTTGAAAATAAATCTGGAACGACTTTATTTATTAAACAATTAGAGGATGGTAATAGAAAAACAACTTAAATTCATCATCAATCTGTTTTAATTATTTTACAACATACATGCTGGTATTGTTTGTTTAATACTTACCCGATAGTCTTCATTTTTCTTTTCAACCTGTCACGTGGCGCAGCAGGGGTCAAAGTAAATAAAGATACCTACCTGCGGCCAGGTGCGACCAAGCAACGCGTTCCCCATTGGATGAAGTAAATACGTGATCATTTGAAAATTTAGAAAGTGGTTTGTTCTAGTCGGTAAAGGCATGGGGCACGTTTTACAAATGAACTTACGACTAAGACCATTTTTTTCCCTAAATTTTGCAAAATTAAGAATTCTCTTCAAAATTATTTTATTAAAGAGTTATATATATATATATATATATATATATATATATATATATATATATATATATATATATATATATATATATATATATATATATATATACAGTTAAAAAGTGTCAATTTTCTAAAAGAAAGGGCGTACTTTTATGAAGGCGGACATTACGAGACGATATTTACAATCCGGAATATTGAAAGACATTTCTTAACGGCGGACACAATGTGATCAGTGACGAGTTTACCGAGAAAAGACGGACATTTCTTGGCGGCGGACATAATCTGACGATTTTTTTTTTCGAAAGAAAGGCGGACTTTTCCTGGCGGCGGACAATATTACGATTTGTTTTAGAAGGTATGTGGGTATTTTGTGGCGGGGGACATAATATTACGATTTGTCGGGAAGAAAGGCGGACACTTTGTGGCGGCGGACATAGTGTGACGATTTTTCTGAAAATGAGGCGGACATTTCGTGACGGCGGACATAGTGTGACGATTTTTCCGAAAAAGAGGCGGACATTTCGTGACGGCGGACATAACGTGACGATTTTTCCGAAAAAGTGGCGGACATTTCGTGACGGCGGACATAACGTGATGGCGGACAAAACGTGACTCAACACAAATAATTAGAGAGCGATTGTGCAACTGAATGAAAGAGACAGCTACCGTCTTTAGGAATATCCCCAACGGGAATTAAATTTCGTTCAAGCGCATTTCGAACCAAATCGTCATGGGCTGTATCGGTTCTCGAGAGGCTCGGTCCTTTAAGTTGGTTTACTAAATTATCAGAAAGATAGAAATCCGATATATGCGGGAAATTATGGGAAGGCAGTGAACAGGGAACTTTGCTTTCGCGGCAACAAAATTTATTTAATTTGTGTACACAGTTTGGATCCGATTTTCGGGAGCATTTCTCATTGTTACACTCGCACAATGGATCAAGCCTTAATCGATGACGTTTTTGTCTTTTTAACAGTTCTTCGGAACGTGAAATTGCTGCTATGTTTTGTACATTTATCCAACGCGACACCCCACTGGAAAACCTGATTTTGTTAGAGAACGCGTTGTGTTTTGTGCCGATTATTTTTCCCCTTTCGAACCGCGGCCTAGCTTTATTGTAATTTTTCCGAGTTTGGGATTTTACGAACACTTCGTCGCCCACACTATAGACACTAACTTGATGTTTTTTGAAATGGTGCTTTATCATGGTTTTTTCGCGTTTTTTCGATGCCAGTAGGGCTGCCTTGCGAATGGCGGACTGCTTTTTCAACTCTTTCGAAACATTATTTGAAACGGTTGGTCCAAGACGAGTAGACTTACGCACACGATTAGATTCCCGTCCTTGATATACGTAAAATGGAGAAGCCTTTAAAGAGGAGTGATACTCCTCATTGCGCAACATCGCGTATTTAGATAAATCTTGAACCCAGTTCGAATCGCTTGTTTTTAGTAGGTCGTACTTAAGCTTTGATTTCCAGGATTTATGAGACGATTCAATTTTACCTTGACTTTGCGGGTAATACGGTCGGCTTTTGATAATTTGACAACCCAATACCTCGGTCAACCGGGTTACCGAACCATGGAATTCGCGACCATTATCACATTGTATGATTTTCGGCGGTCCTTCGCTTTCATAAATGGACTCCAGCGCGTCTGCGATTTCCGTGCTTTCTTTCGAGTTGAGCGGGCGAAGCCATACGTAACGACTGAAAACGTCTAGAACCGACAAAATATACTTGTACTCTACACCGTTATAAAATTCCGTGTGTCGCGACATATCAACTAAGTCAATTTGGTGGCGTTCTTGTATCGAAGTTGCACGAATCGGTTTAAGAGGAACAACGTTATCGAAAATTGGATTGACGGACTGCTTTTCGGGAAGAGATTTAAGAGAGGTTTGAACCTTCCGATGTGTTACGCCGCTGAATACAGATTTTAAGCGATGTCGAATTTTTCGTGAACCAGCGCCCTTACTTTCCTCGAATGCCTGTTTTGTCGCGGAACTAATTTCACTTAACCTTAAAACCATTTTACCATCAACCAAAACACGTTTTTCTTGAGCTCCGGTCAATGGGTTCAGGCAATTGGCAACAGACAAAGGATGATTCTTTCTCCAGCGACGAATCATCCTTGCCGCATTTTTTTCTTCTAGTGTTGCCTTTCTTTCGTTGACATCATTGATATACTGGTTCAACATCACTTCATGATTGCCAGGATGCACTCTTCAACTCGAGAATAACCGAATAAATGTAAAGGCATCATTTTTTTTAAAACAAAGAAATCGTTACAAAAAAGAAAATATCATTGGATATGAGACTTTTCGGATGAGGGAAGAGATATGGACCTCTAATTAATACAGCACACATGCATCTTATCATTGCACGTCGGCTTTCTAAACGACATATTGATTCTTTTTCTTATTATAACTTTTTAAAAACACTTATTTTTTAGAAAATGTATGTATAATTTTAAAAAGGTTAGTTTTTATAAAGACGTTTCTTTCGTTTACAAGAACCCTATAATTGAAAGCAGATTTATAAAATCATCAAATGAATTACTGCTTAACATCTATATCTTTCTATAACATTTGATAAATTCTGAAAGCCATAAATATCGTCCATTTATTCATGCACGTTTGTATACAGAAACAACCTGTCCCACCTCCACGCTGAAAATGATACTTTTTGCGCCTCTATCACAGGAGAGTTACAATCTTGAAACTCGCGTATTGGTCAAATTTCCTATATTCACACAAGTTTTATAAATGTATTATGCATATTTTGTCATTTGTACAAGTTTGTACAAAGTTAGGATCATGGTAAACAAAAGCTTTGAAATGAATGACCGTTTTCTATAATTTACTATAGAAAATAACAAATGTCGGCCCACCCCTGCCACATTCTATGGTTTTGTTCTTTGTATATTCGTAAATTTCAGCGGTAGAATTTGTTGAATCGTACGGTTTAGTTATCAATAAATGATTTGGGATGAAAATTTTTGCTTTATTTGATTGTTTATTTTTTCACATTTTACCGGGGCCCATAAGTGCACTCTTTTACACGTGAATTCTTTTATTCTGTTTTTATTACCGAAAAGCACTACCTGAAAAATGTTGGATAGCATTTCTTGAAAAATGTTCGAGATGAAAACTTAAAATTGTTGGAAGTGAAACCTAAAAATGTCGCAAATGAAAAGTTGAAAATTTAAAACATTCCGGATATGCAATGCCATGTCACAATTCATCTTCATTACCCTTTAATTAATCTTATTTTATATGCATGTGAGTTTTTTTCTTTATCTTTTTAAAAATATTTTAAAAATGAAAATCATTATCATAAAATGTAATCATTCGCTGAGTGATTTTCGAATCTGAATTTTAGTATGATCATGTATTCAAAGGTGGAGGCGGGGGGGGGGGGGTCCTATACTTTGCACACATGTTATGCCTCTCATTTATGCTATTGTATCATAATCATATTTATTATACAATGTATTAATTATTTCCCTTACAATTTTGACGACTAATCTATATAATGCACCTCATGAACCACTGGTCTGATGTTGGTGTGACAGTGAGTGAAATAAATGAACTGGAACTTGACTACGGGCACCTGTGCTTCT